AGGGACATGGAGGCAGGCATCTCTGGGGGGCTATGGGTCTGCCTGCCACACCCCCATCCCTCTGGCCAGAAGCCTGGAGAGCAGATCCACTCAAAACCTCCAGCCCAGCCATGAGTCCTCAAGCTCCACCTGCCACCTGCACGGGGCCTCTCCCTCACCTCCCTTCCGCCACGCTCCTCACAGCCCGCCCACTTCCTCTCATGCCTGTCTTCCAGGCTGCATAGGGTCCCAGCGTCACACCGCTCCCTGCCACACCCTTCAGTGCTGTCTCACGGCTCCCAGGACCGAGCCCCTCACTTCTCCGAGGCCCCCCACCCGGCCTGCTCATGCCCTGCTCCCTGCCTGGCCGCAGTCTCTCCAGCAGGAGGGCTGTGACGGCCACCTCACATCCCTGCAGGCAGCCTGGCTCCTCCTCTCACATGTCTCAGCACAGACCAGGAGTCCCTGACGGGGGGGTGGCCACCCACCCACGGAGGACCTGCTGTCCTGCCAAGGTGCCCAGATCGCCACTCCAGACCTGCCCCCCAGCTTCCGCAGCCACATCCACCACCCTGCATTCAGCACAGTTCCTGGGACCTCGAAGGTGCCCAAGTCCCCAAGTGACTTCATTACCGCAGCAGTTCCCGGAGAGCTGCTGGCCTGCGGAGCCCACTCTCCTGCGCAGAGACTCCACGTGGCTGCGCCGTGGGGCGGAATGTGTCACAGCACAGCGCTCCCCTCGCTGCATCCTCATCTCCAGCACCCAGGGCCTTGCCGCCATGGTGCCTGCAGACGTCACGTGTCGCGCACCCTGCCACACGCACACCCTCCTGCCAGAGCACATGCTGCCAGCCAGGGCTGTGCTGAAACAGCAAACCTCGGCACCACGCTGAAAGGCTGCCTGTGTCTGCAAGCCCAGCGTGCGGGCTTCGGTCTTGGCACTTAAAGCACGGCAGGAATTCCAACTGCGGCTGCGGAAAGCAACAGCCTGTTGAGAGCCCAGTGAGTCAACAGCCCCAGAAAGAACAGGCCTGGACAGCCAGAGACTGGGCCCTCCTGTGCTGTCACCACGTATCCCTCTCCCTGCCGCTCTCACCCGGGTGTCCGCAGCAGCCTCCCCGTTCCCCTCGCCCCCCACGCGCCTCTGTATCTCTCACACAGCAGCAAACCCAGCATAAACCGCGCCCCGCAGGCTCCCCCCACAACAAGATGACCCTCTGTATCTCCATGGGACAGCACAGCTCTGTCTCCCTCGGCTGCGGCCACGCCAGCCTCACTCCCAGAGCAGCGCCTCCGCACTTACGGCCCCTCTGCCTGCGCCACTCTTCCCATGCTACCCGGGGATTCTCCTCCCCTTCCTGCAAATCTCTCCACAACAGCACCTGCGCCGAGGGAGCCTGGCTCCTTTATCACCTGCCGCGGGGTTCCCTACCTGACCCTGCACTATTTCCTCACAACAGTTAGCTCTCTATGAAGGTAGGTACCACGTTCTGCTCTCCCACACATCCTAATGCTGTGAGAGCAGAGATCCCTATCTGGTTTGTTCACTAATGCAGCCCTCACACTGGAGCCCGTCCTGGCATGCAGGACAGGTTCAGTAAGTATTTACGGGGAGAATGACCAAACTCTCAAGACCGGTCCAAGAGCCCTCTCCCCACCAAACAGAACCAGGCTGGGCCAAATAAAGCTTCCCCGGATGCTAAGGCCACTTCAGTCTAAGGTAACAGAGCAGACACCAATGGTCCCGGGGGCTAGGGTGACTCAGTGAGGATCACACAGACAGGAGGCGGGAGCAGCGTAAAACCCAACTGACACCTAGCCAGAGGCCTTCCCACCACACCACACCTGCTAGCTCGCCTAGAAAAGAAACTGCTAAAAGCCTCAGCCAAACAATCACCCAGATACCCAGGTGTGCACAGGACAATGCACGACTTTGGACAGATCATTTACCTTCTCCAGAGTACTGAGTCCGAATCGACTGGACCGGTCTGGATCCACCACCCTGCTCAACAACAGTCAGAACTGTGCAAGGTGGGCAAGGTGTACTATACGTGCAGAGCTCGCTTCCCGGTGGAGAAAGCAAGCACATGGAAGAGGACTTGGATTCAAGCTGCACATAAACAGGCAGGGCTTTGGCTACGGGAGATCTCCAGTACATACACAGGCCGTGCTTTATAAGGAGGTGAGCCGGGTGTGGTGGCACACACCTGTAATCCCAGCACTCAGGAGGCTAAGGCAGGAAGATCACCATGAGTTCAAGGTCAGCCTGGGCTAGACAGTGAGTTCAAGGCCAGCCTGAAATACACAGTGACCCTGTGTGAACAAAAAGAAAAAAGGAAGATGGAAATATAAGGAGGTGAAATCTGAAAGGAAGAAAGATAAGCTAGGCAAAAGGGGAGGAAGGAGCAGCATGGGGTGTACGGGACCCGGAAGCCCAGCGGCACCGCTGTGGACAAGCTGCAAAGAATGGACAGGAGGCCAAGCAGCTGAGCAGTGGTCTGGTTATAAAGGAGCCTAGATGCCCTGCAAAAAGTCTATGCATGGCACAGCATCTCAGGGGAGATTTTAAGCCCAGCGTGCCTCAGGGAGTGCAGCCTGGAGGACAAACCACACAACCCCAGGTAGACATGACACTTGAGAAGCACCAAGATCGGGCTTGGCAGACACTAAGTGCCTGATGAATGTCAGCCACACCGTTAAGGACTTGTTACAGGCTGTGCTTTACAAAGGTTCCTTCACAGCCTAGCATTCGGTAGTGGGTGCAGTCTCCCTCCTGAACCTCCCTGGGTGAGACCGACACTCAGAAGAGAGAAACACACACGGAACCGCTGGGGAGCAGGCAAAGCTGGGAGCTCTGCTGGCACTGGGCTTGTGTAAGTGACAACCACGACATGGGTAGTCATCACCATCTCCTGGCAGGAAAGGGGCACAGTGCTGCGAACCCTCCTCATCAAGAGTGCCAGAATGTCACCTGCAACAGCAGCGCTGCCAGGGGTGAGGACCACAGGATGGAGGGGACCACATGGGCTATACAGGACACTCTGGGGCACCCAACTCTGCCTACGTCCTGCCCTCTCAGTGACAGCCACTAATCTCAAGGCTCTGGTGCCATCGGTACCTGTCACACGGAAGCTGCTCCCAAAAGACAGAGCACAGCACCAAACTCCAAGGAAAAAGCAAGTCTGTCTTTGGTAATGCAGGTTCTCACACCAGAAACAGGGCCTGTACTGGTTTCCTATGGCTGCCGTAACAAACCCCCACAAGTATAGTGACGCAGTACAACATAAATTTATCCTCTCAGCGCTAGAGGACAGAACACTGAAATCAAGGGGGCCATGCAGGCTGCCAAGTCTCTAGAGAAGGATCCTTCCTTGGCACTTCTAGCTTCTGGGGGTTGCCAGCAGGCCCTGGCTCCCCTTGACTTGTAAACACATCGTTCCAGTCTCTGCTTCTGTCTTCCCATGGCCATCTTCCCTGTGTGAGTGTCTATGCCCAAATTCCCCTCAGCTCAGGCGAACGCCAATCTTTGGATCAAGGCCTTCCCTCGTCCACACAGCCTGGTCTCGACTTGATTACTTCTGCAAAGACCATAATTCTAAATAAGATCACATCTGCAGGCACCAGACAGACATGAATTTGGGGACTGTTTAAAGACAAACTACCAAGAGACATGGTCTTCAATCCACAGGTTTACTCATTGTTATAACTCGACACAGCAGCTCTTACATCTCACCTAACGGTTAAAATCTAGTTAAGAGTCTAGACAAGAGACACAACAATCTCAAGAACTAAAAGCAACACATGGAAGTTGCAGTGCAGCGTGGCTCCTCTTCCCTGGAGCCCGTGTTCCAGACCACTGCTTTCTGTTGCTTTAGACCTGTATCCACCTTCACTCCAGATTCTTCACCTCATCTTGAACCCTGACGTTGGTTTTGATGAAAGCTCTTACTGTTCAAGCAAGACCCGTCCTGGGGGAGAAAAATAGGTTCTCTGGCCACCTTTGATGACGCCCTCATCCTCTGAGTCAGTGTCTGAGCAGTGGGGAACTCACTCCCGCTCACTCCTGACCACTCTGAAAAGTATGCAACAAATTCCAAAATTCACGTCCTCCCACTCACTCAAGGGTCTCTTACTACACACAGGAGCACAAACCACCGCACTGTGCTTGGGAATGGGACTCTACTTAAGTGATTTTAATACCACAATTCTCAGTTTTCCACATCTCCGGCTTTAGTTTCAGGACAGAAAAACTTTGGAAATCTCCCACCGTGCTTGTCTCTAGTCTGCTCTCCTTAGTGGCTGACTCTACCCCAGGTATTTTCCACGCAGTGTCTCCTCATTCCCTAGGGCCCTGCAGGGCTCAGTGCCACAGCAAACAGAGAAGCGCTTTAGAGCTGGACGGACAGCTTCCACGGCGCACCCAGGTATTTAATTTTAAAAAAAAAAAATTTTTTTTTAAATTTTGCTTCCTCCCGCTGACACGCTGGAGTTGGTCCTGAGACCAGCAAGTGGGAACATGGAAATTCACAGGGTGCACGCACCCAACCCTCCTCCGCGCGCAGGGCACAAGCAGCAGCTCACAAGGCAGCGAGAAGGCGAGGCAAGGGGCTCAGAAACCCTCTGCAGAAAGCGACGTCCCCAGACGGCGCAGCCTCGCCCGGACGGTTTCCGGACGCCGCCAAACTCCCCAGGGCACGACCCGCATCACTTTCCCTCGGCCTCCCCGGACAGCCGAGGGGCTGGCAGAAGGCAGCCGGCCCGCTCGGGAGAAACTTGTGGCCGCCCGTCCTCCCTGCAAGCCTCGCTCCTACGGACGACCACTGTCACCTCCCCAGGGACACGCTCCGACCCCTGCGCCCCCCTGCGCCCCTACCCCGCCCAGCAGTCCCCTCCGCGCCCAGTCCCTCTCCTCGGAGCCCAGATTACCCCCCAGACCCCGACTCCACCCGCAGCCCAGCTGGCCGACGCGGCACCTGACCTCTGACCCCTGACCCCGACCCGGCTCTCCCTGTCACACCCACCTGCCCGGGACCTTGCTGGTACTGCGCTTCCAGAACTGCTTCCTGGCCCCGTCGCTGGCCATGGCAGCTCCTCATCCCTCAGACCCAAGACCCCGACACCCCGAGTGCGGCCGGCCAGCCCCAGCTGCCCTTTCCGGGAGGCCCCTCGGTGATCCCAGGACTCCAGAGCGCAGACCTCAGAGCCTCTTCCGCCTCCCTACGGAAGTTGTGCCTCCGCGAGCCCGGAAGTCCCGCCTCCGTCCCAGGCGTGGCGTCATTAAAGGGCGACGCCGGACTGTTTGTATCAGGGCTGCGCCGCGCAGGAAGCGTGGGTACGACGGGCTGGGTGGCGGGTCGGGCCCCGTCCTGCACGGGACGCAGCCAGACTGAGACGTGGAGCACGGGCGAGGGCATCAGCAAGGCCTCACCGGAGGAGGGCGAGCACCCAGGCGGGAGGGGCGCGCTGGCTGCTTAGGGCGATCGCGCGCTGGAAACGCTGCGGGTCGGGACTGAGAGGCGCTTGCCGGGAGGTGCAGGACCCGGAAGACTCGCGTGTACGCGTGAATGTTTACATCGGCTACGTGCTGGGTAACATGGGGGATGCCTGGGGTTGAGTGGAATCCTGTGTTAAAACTTTCCGCATCTGTTTCCTTTTTTCAAATGAGTATGGATTTATTTTCTTATTTCTCTCTCCTAATAAAATACACCGCCTTGGGGCTGGAGATTTAGCTCAGCTGCACAGTGCCTGCCCGGCAAGCGCGAGGTCTTGAGTTCGATCCCCGGTACCGGAAAAATAAATAAAAATAAAAATAAATAAAATAAAATTTAAGAATACACCACCTTAATTTTTTTTCACTTAAGGATATATGACAGTCTTCATATATGAGTACTTTCAACAATTTTTCAGGTATTCTTTGTTGATGCGGCTGCCAGAAGACTTGAAATACATACGTGGTTTGCGTTGTATTTCTATGGCCTTGGACCGAAGACAGAGGTCAGGGACTGGCTTTTAAAGCGAAAATTGCTTTTCTTCTTGGACCTCCTGAATGTTACTCGAGTGCCCCACTGCTGAGCCACACCCAGCACCTGATGCTATTCCCCGGTGAAGGTTTTCCCCGTGCCTCTTTATCTACTGATAACGTTGATTGAGTACTTGCCGCAGTTACTTGATGTGCGTTATCTTAGTCGCATGCCTCAATACCGCGTTCTCAATACCCAGAGCAAAATGAAGGCGTCTCGGCTGGCATAACGCCTCAGTGGTACGAACAGGTCCCTCCGCCGCTCCTTGTACCCACCGCGCAGCATCTGCCTGACTTCATCTTTATTCTCTCCCTATTTTTAGTTTGCCAGGTGAAACTCATGTCCTTCACCTCTCTGGAGCAGCAACCCCAGCACCTCACACCTCACACAGCCTTCTGCAAGCGCTTGTCACAAGTGACAACCACAGGAACACTAGGGAGCCCCCTTGCCACAGCCGTGGAAGCTCCCCCAGGAATCCCCACGGGACAGTCTCAAGGGACCTCTAGGTTCTTGGGGCGCCTTTGCAAGGTAGCTTTAGAAACCCTCCTGGGGTCCTGTCCCTGCACAAGGGCAGAATTTCCAGACATCTGGTAATAGTGGATCTACAGGACCGTTTCCTGACATAGCCAGAAACTGTATCCGGGAGTTCTAGCAGAGCTTGGGAGATCTCTTCCTGACTGCACCCCCGCCCAGACATAGGCTCCCAGTAGCCTCAGGGATTCCCTACAGGCATCATTAGGGACCAAGGGAGTTCTCTCCGGCTCTGTCTGGCTGATTCCTAGAGCCAGTGAGTGAGGAGCCAGAAGCAGGGCTGACCCTGGAAGCAGAGAGGGAGGGAAAGCTGAAAGAGTTTAAGGAAACATTGACAGCCATAGTGACTGATTGGATGTGACAACATCTTGTTCCTCAGAGCTTACCCCGACCTCCCTACCTTCTGTCTTGAACATGGATTGGGAGGGGCTAAGCGAAAGGTGACTGCTATCCCTAGACATGACAAGCGAGCCTGTTTGCAGTGTGAGTTTATGATGGGTTTGGACATGTTTGGTTTGAGGGAAAAGATGTTAGATCTCAGCCAGCACTGCATTAGAGAACACGTTTATCCGCAGTGGAGATGGGAACTAAATGGGAACCCAGGGTGAGGTCAGAAAACACAATGAGGCCTGGGATATAGCTCAGTGGCACAAGCGCCTGCCTGGCAAGCACAAGGCCCTGAGTTCGATTCCCAGCACCACCAAAAAAAGAAAAGGAAAAGATGATGAAGAACAGGTCAGTGTCATGAGCAATACAGTTACAAAGACAAAGCCAAGACAGAAACAGTCTCTGGAGATGGGTTTGGACACAGGACAGACAGGATTGAGAGTCTGGCATAAGGCCAGATTTGGGAGCTAAAGTAACACAGATGTGGACTGTAGGACCAGGACCTGTACAGGAATCACAAGGCTGATGTCCACATCCCAGAGATGATAAATACATGCAGTCTTAATTGTGCAAGTTTCCTTTTTTGGGAATGGAATCTCCTGTTGCCCAAGCTGGTCTCAAACTCCTTGGACTCAAATGCTCCTTCCCCTGGGACTGAGAAGAGAGGGCTGGACACTCCCCACGTAGGTGGGTGGGAGCGTGGGTGACTGACGGGATGGGTTCTTCTCCCAGGGCAGCTTAGGGTTGAGAAAGTAGGCCACCAGCCCAGCCCCAGGGCAAAGGCTGTCAGGTAGGAGGCCAGGTGTGTTGTGGGTCACTTTCCTGTGTGTGTGTTGTCGGGGAGGGGTCTGTATTGGCAGAGAATGAAGCCAGCCACAAAGCGCAGCAAGGAAAAGAAAAAAAGGAGTGGCAATAGCTTTAAGACCCTAGATCCGTTCCTGTGGCTCAGAAAGCCGAGGCAGAAAATTCACAAGCTGAGCCCAACTTGTGTGACTTGCTGAAAGAGCATCTTGAAATTTAAAAAAAAAAATTTAAAGGATGAGGATGTAGCTCAGTGCAAAGGTTCTGGGCCGAAGTTCGGTCCCAGGACTGAAAGCAGAAGATGCCCCTGGGTCCAGTGTTCCTGAGCCCCAGCTGTCCCCTCCCTCTTCTTACACCTACAGTTACACTACACATGGCAGCAGCTGTGGGAAGAGCAACAGCCCTGCCCGGAGGCGGACCCAGAGGCCAATTCCAGATGCCCTCAGAGGGCGTGGCTATGAAAGCAGGACAGGGCCAGCACACAACACAAACCAGAGTCCACAATGATTCATCAAGTGTGGAGACGAAGAGACCCAGACCAGCCTTCAGCTTTCTCAGTACCCACTGTGCCAGCCAGTGACAGGGAGGAGTCATGAGGCAGTTGCTGGCAGTGCTGAGCTCAAGAGAAGCCAGAGAGGGTCCCAGTGATACTGCTCACAGTGGAAAGGGACCAGGAGGCCCTGGAGGAAGGTGTGGGTTTGTGGAAGAGCAAGGTGGAGGCTGGAAAACAGAAAGGGCCTCCAGCAAGGGCAAAGAGAAACATGTTAAGCTCATGTGCAGGGGGCTGGATTTCCATTTTAAAGATGAGAAAGTGACTGAGCATGGGGTACTTGCCTGTAATTCCAGCTACTCAGGAGGCTGAGGCAGGAGGCTTGCCAGCCTGTGCAGTTTTGTGAGATCCTGGCTCAAAATAAGGATAGCCAGGCACGGTGGTACATACCAGCAATCCCAGTATTTGGGAGGCTGAGGCAGGAGGGTCACTGAGTTCAAGGCCAGCCTGGGCTACATAGTGAATTCAAGGCCCACCTGGAATACATAGAAGGACCCTGTCTCAAAAAATAAAGAAATAAACAAATAAAAGAGGTGGGGATGAAGCTCAGTGGTAAAGCCTTGCCTCACCTATGCAAGCTCCTGGATTCAATTCCCAGTACAATACATACATACATAAGCAAGTCAAGAGTAGTGGTGTAAGTCCAGCACTCGGAAGCTGAGGCAGGAGGATCACAAGTTTGACCTCACCCTGGGCAACTTAGCAAAACCCTGCCTCAAAAGAAAAACATATATAGAGAGGAGGGGGAGAAGAGCTGGGGATGTAGCTCAGCGGAAAGGCTTTGGGTTCAGCCCACAGTACTGAGAAAAACGGGGTGGGGAAGAGGAGGTGGACACAGCAGGAATAGCTCCTCCTGGGTGCTGGGCTGGGCTGACCCTGTGGGATTAACTGTGGCAACCCTAGCCTGGGCTGCAGCCCAAACAGCACCTTTGGGCATCACAGACCTAGAGGTGCGAGGCTGGGGGAGCAGCCTGACAGAGGCCCCGGGAGATCGACCACAGCTCGGACACCACAGGAGAGGGCGGGGGCCCGGAGAGGGCAGCACCACGACTGTTGAGATTTTGCTGCTTCCTGAGTCGAGTCTTTGCAGCTCCCGAGGGCCAGTATGGGGGAGGGACACCCTGGATCTGAATCCCAGACGCGTTGGCATGGCCTGCCCAGCCCAGGCTGGCCCTGGGTGGAGAGAGGGTGTCCTCCTGAGAAGCACCCCAAATGCCTCTCCTCTGCAAACGCCTCTGCAGGACTCAGTTTCCTCCTGGAGCCAGGCTTTGGGTCCCAATCCTGCTGTCAGAATGGGGCAGGCGTTCGCTTCACTAGGCCTCAGTTTCCCAGCCGGTGGGGTGGGGATTCAAGGTCATGGTGGGTGACACTCAGCAGGTGCCGTGCCGCCAGTCAGAGCGGCTCTTTACAATCCTGATGCCCAGTAAACTGCACAAGAATCAAACCCCGTGTTATGGTTTGTGTCTGGGTGTCCCCCCAAAGCCTCATGCAGTCATGGGGTGGGCTTCTAGAGTGTTTAATTGACCCCTGGTCCAGTGTTGGGATTACGGGTGTGAGAGCTACACCCGCCCTGGGGCGGCTAGTTTGCATACAGTGTACTGGAGGGAAAGAGGCTGCTTGCAGTGCTACTCCTCGCTTTTTGCTCTTGCTGGTTTTGCTGTTTTCTGATGCCATGAACTGCTGCCCTCTGCCATGTGTCTCTCTGCCTTGGAGCCAGCTGATTATAGACTGAAACCTGCACAAACAGTGAGCTAAATAAACCTTTCCTTCCTTAATTTTGGGCATCAGGTATTT